GTTATTAATATATTTAGGCAAAATCGTATTAAATAAGATAATAATATTTCAATATAAGTCTAACTTGGAGTAGAGCGAAAAATAATAACATTATACAACATACAAAACAAAGATTTTTTGTAATTATTGACACCAAAATATTTACATACGCACAAATGTCTCTTAAAATAGTATCAGTGAAACTATTTTTAATTTACATGCAGTAATAATTAAATGTAACGTGAACATTAAGCCTACACTACCGCTATATTCAGAAACAAACATGAAACAATCTAAACCCCTTCAAGATTCCAAAGCCGAACTTAGACGGAACATATAAAGGCACCGAAAGCACGGGACGAATGTTCTTCTGTAATGAGATTCCTCCGATGTTATCTCGCTTGACAACGAATCCCCAATTTGTGGTCAGTCAATCTTCTGGAGGAGATTTTGCGGAATTCAATTTGCTAAGACAAAAGTAATGTCTCTCTAAAGCGGCCTTACAAATTATTACTTCGAAAGGAAACTTTTTAAATCTACAGACTCGTTTTCCATTACTTCGTCGAGACGGAACCACAAATTATATTTCTAATAACACAAGAATTACCCAAGCAACTCAATTTGTCTTTTTTAAAACGGACAGACATTCGCAAATTTCATGGAGTCAAATGGTGTTTTCAAAAAAGAAATTTAAATTCACGGCGCGCTGCTAGAAATAGCTGGGGGCGACGTTAAAAAATTTACACCCACCTAATTTTATAGCCCCCAAATAACTTTAGATGCTTTCACGTATCCACTTAATCGTTTCCACCATCCACACTTTGCTTGGGAGGTGTTGACGTACACTAATGTCCAATTAATATGCCGTTTTATTCGAAACCTCTTTAATTTATCGTGTACCAACCAGGTATATATTCTCATTAGTTTGACACTCACTGCCTATTATAAGCTGACCGATCATTAGATGCCGCTGATAAATAGCGATAGTGAATCGAAATAGAGATATTGACCCTGTCTATAAATTCTTTAAGCTACTGTCGAAATGATATGGCAACGTTTTTTATTGACTGTTTTAGTTGGCAAGTGTCTTATTAAATTCCAATGCAAACTATTGCCTGTATATTTTATACGTACATGTTTAATGCGGAGGCTATTTGGGGTAGCATTTCCTTCGTATTTAGCAGTTGATGTTTTAGTACCTATCAATGGATAGTGTGAAACGAAACATTAATGGGTCATTAACTATCGTTTTTCTATCTGACCGTGACCCTTTGTGGAACAATAGAGCTTAAAATACATTTGTGACTAACGACTTTGGCTTCGTCGCAGTCAATATCTGACATGTAAATATCTGCTCTTCATTGAAATCCAGGTGCCATTATCATTTGAATGCCTAATAAAGTAGACAATTTATATTTCTTTCGATCATTAATAATGGCCGCGCAGTTAAATAAAGTAATCGATTTTTATGGCCGGTATGTCCTATGTACGTGGATTGCGTGTCCCGGTCTCAGCGTACGACCACGGGGAGCGATCACAAATGCTTTTGAAACAAGCAAAAAAGATACAAAGACACAGCGAGAACAGTTTTTTCTTAAATTATTGATGTAATAAAATAGAGCGCGACTGTGTAATGTATTCAAACTGTGAGTGGAGTTGTATGGAACGCGATCGAATAGTTGTTTATGTTAATGTTACTCCGATTCCTTATATTATTAAGATGTTCAGTTGTTTATGTCTTCTCTTTGGACGTGTGCTTAGTCAGAGGTATGGTTTTATTGGATCTTAATTATTTATTAGTGGTCGTGCGTGTTTTATTCAAATGGGGCCGGCCTAATCGATTTACCACATCCAACGATTCGTTCGTAATTTCGGTGGCAATGTCAATACATACCTAGCTAGTTTTATTCGAGAGACAAGATTATAAATGATACTATTAATTTATGTAGTTCAAAATATTAATTTCTTCATCGTAGTAGGTACTAAGAAACATGCTGCCTTCTTAATTATGATATAAATCAATACGAACACTTTTGATTGCTTAGTGACCATCAAATAAAAAAAATATTTTATTCAAACAGACCTGTTTATAAGCATGTTTAAGTTGTTATTTGCGGTTGTAATTCTATCGTGGAATTCTCTTTTTGTTTGTATTATAACGAAAGAAAAATATTTAACTATTACTAATATTATGATAAGTAATTAACAGATTATATGAGTAGATGTATATTATTCATTTACACTTCGGTAGTTAACTATGAATATCTTCCGAGTAACAGGGATAGGGGAGGAAGGGAATGGGGTCTAACATCGCCATTGCTAACAATATATCCTATCAAGTCGACCTCCACGTGGTTCCCCCTGGAAACTAGCCTGAATTAGTCTTTATAAGTTAACTGACCTACTTTCGTTCTCAACTAGGTATCATCCTTCACTGGTGCTCCGCCAGCGTATACTGATAGCACAAGCGAGGTTACCATTTAATCGTCACCCATTAAAAAAAAACTAATACGGTTACTATTTTACATTAAAATAGAGAAGTATATTTAATTATTTATTTAGAAGTATTATGTTGTTTGTTTGGTAACAAGGTAATGAGTCTTATTGTCAGATATATAAAGAAATATAGAAAAAGCGAATGATTAAGGTGCTGTTTATGTCTATAGTTGACGGTTGCATCTTTTCGTCTTGTAAGTCGTCAATTTATTTACCATTCTGTGTTTCCTAAAAAAAAAATTAAAAGTATACAAACGCCAAACTCAATGTTACTATAATGTGTATCACCATCCTTGTTTTTATTGAACTGCATTATTATAAACTTACTTTAATTTTTTTTTTTAAATTACATCGATCATTGAAATTTCAACTTTAAACTGTTGAGATTACGGTCTATTGCTCACTTCATACCTAAATCTTTTGCTTTTAAAGAATCGTGTGACTTACATCATAATAATAGACAACTAATTACATAATCTTAACAAAAGCGTTCATTGTTGTTACTGCCATCAATCTTGTGTTACAAATCAACGCACAATAATATACTATGACAATTAGGTCATTAGGTCTATATTCTCTGTACCGCCCGGATCGCAAAACGGCATAACTCTATTTGCGAACAATAAACTTTTGCTACTGTATTTGACAAAAGAAACAATAAAAACGGGATACATCGAGTTTCTGGGATGTTCTAAATGCACCAACTAGCAATTGTTTCACCCAGCAGGATCTCATTGAGTTCTAAGAAGGCAGTAAACGTCGTACAAAAGCGAATGCCTCCGTTTCATCCGCTGTAATAAGTTTTTATGCTCTCTGTGATGCAAGGACGAGTATGTATTCTTTAGCATATAAGCAGTTTTAGGACAATATTTCTCGTTTTCGGTGTGAAAACTGTCGTTTTATTTTCATAGAGTTGCCATTGTCTGAATAAGTAATACATTTTTTTTATAACAGCCATTACCTACAAATATGTTATTAAGTTTATTTTCCTTCCCTTAAATATTCCATTTAATATATTTACATAGTTAATAATAGATTAGATATTTATTAACATGAAATATATTGTAATTGCTTTATTTTATTACAATATACTTGATTACATATATGTAAATTACATTAACTCAAATTGTTTAGGATTTATTATGATGTAATTTTGGAAATAATCAAATTAAAGACGGAGACTAATTTGTATGACTTTTATAACGAATAACCAACAAATGAAAAAAAAAGATGAATCAACTTATTTTTGACGCTTTCTTGGCTAACAAAAAAGAATCAGGCGTTTAAACATGCCCCCCGGCGTTGAATGCCGTGGCTTCAACCAGACAGTGATGGCAATGGACAAATCTTGCTAAAAGCCCGTCGAATCACTCCGGTGGACGTTTTTATATCAGCAACCCGTACTATGCCGTCAGGTCCAGGATGAACTTCCACAATTCTTCCCAATTTCCACTTCAACGGCGGAAGATTATCCTCCTTGATCACTACTAAAGTGTCCAACTTCAAATTATCCTTGCAGGAACGCCATTTAACGCGTTGTTGTAATTCTGCAATATATTCTTTACTCCATCTAGTCCAAAAATGTTGACGAAGTTGTTCAATGCGTTGGAACCGTGTAAGATTATTCGTGGAATATAATCGATAATCTCGTTCTGGTAAGGATGTGAGTGATCGGCCAATGAGAAAATGACCTGGGGTCAGTGGATTGTAGTCTGCTGGATCCGAAGAAAGTGGTGTTAGTGGTCGAGAGTTTAATACGGCTTCAATTTGTACAAGTGTAGTGTTAAGCTCTTCGTAAGTTAATGTACAATTACCCAACACTCGCTGTAAATGGTACTTGGTCGAACGGACACCCGCTTCCCAGAGGCCTCCGAAATGTGGCGCATACGCCGGAATAAAATGGAAATTAATACCGTCGTTTGCTGCACTTTCACCTAAAGAATTAAAATTAGCCTTTAGAAATTTTGATAAGTCGTTGTATGCACCAACAAATGACGTACCGTTATCAGAATAAATATTAACGGGTTTCCCTCTTCGTGAAATAAATCGTCGTAAAGCCAGTAAATAATTATTGCTCGTTAGATCTCCCACCAGCTCCAAATGAATGGCTTTAGTCGTGAAGCACACAAAAACCGCAATATACACTTTTACTAGTCTGCAACCGCGACCTTGACGATTTGCGCACATAATAGGGCCTGCATAGTCAACACCAACAGTCATAAAAGGATAACCACCGGAAAGAAGACGCTGCTGTGGTAAATTTCCCATCAAAGGAGTAACGACCTTACCCTTTATGCGTGTACATTTGATGCAATTATGATAGCAAGTCTTTGCTAAATTTCGACCACCTATGGGCCAATAACTTTCCCTAATGGACGCCAACAATAATTGAGGACCAGCATGTAATAATCTTTTATGCTCAAATGTGAATAATAATTTTGTAAAAATGTGAGTGGACTGTAAAATAATAGGGTGTTTTTTGTCATCAGAATAATTTGAGTTGTCAATACGACCTCCAACACGCATTATATTATTTTCGTCTAGGAACACGTTAAATTTTAAGAGTGGACTTTTTTTAGGTAAGCTTTCTTTATTCAAAAGTAATTTATACTCGGGAAAGGATTCGTATTGACAATTTGAAATTATTAAAATTAAGGAATCTCGCAATTCCTTTTCACTTAAAAATATTGAGACTTCTGGCAGCCTTTTACATGAATTTATGAATCTTAAAACATAGGCTACCGATCGCACGAGTCTTAAATAATTGGAGAAGCGATTAAATTCAATGAGCCTTCTTGGGCTTGCGTCGTGTACAATAGCGTTTAAAGAATGGTCTTGTTTAATCTCGGGTAAAACTTCGACATGCTTTGGTTGAGGGGGCCACTTCACAAAGTCATCACGAAGAAATGCAGGACCTGACCACCATAGTTCCAAACTCTGCAGATTACTAATATCCACACCACGAGATATTAGGTTTGCTGAGTTTTCATCAGTTGGTACGTGTCGCCAGGTACAGTTTTCTGTCCTTTCTAAGATTTCGGCAACGCGATTGCGTACAAACGGCTGAAGTCTAGAAGGTAGCATACGTAACCAACTTAAAACTATGGTGGAGTCAGTCCAGCAATAAACTTTATTTATTTTCAACCTCAACGAAGTGACGACTTTGTCATAAAGTCGAGCTGCTATCAATGCACCGCACAATTCCAACCTTGGGATTGTGGTTGGTTTGATCGGAGCTACTCGACTCTTAGCCATCAACAACCGAACTAAAACCTTTCCAAAATCACTAACACTACGAACATAAATGCAAGCTCCATACGCACGTTCTGACGCGTCTGAAAATACATGCAATTCTAGCAATTTGTGTGAGTCGCAAATAACAATTCTTGGAATACGAAGTTTGTTTAAAAGGGGTAAAGCTTCACGAATACGTTTCCAATTCTTATTAAGGTCATAATTTAATGGTTCATCCCAAGATAATTTTTGAATCCAAAGCTGTTGTAGCAGCAATTTCATATTAATTATGCAAGGAGCCAAAAGTCCTAATGGATCAAAAATTCGTGCAATTGATGAAAGAATATCACGTTTAGTATTGCCATCAGGGATTAAAGAACCTATTGGAAAACATAGTTCGTCAGAATTAGCATGCCAACTGAGACCTAATAACTTATTTGGATCATCATCATTATGCCCGATATTTAAATCAATTGAAGAAATATCATTATTTGGAGACTCCATAATCAATCGAGGTTCATTCGATTTCCACTTCCTTAATGGCATACAAGCCGAAGCAAGTACATCAGTGACCTCCTTACGGATAGCTTGAACTTCAGTCAGATCATCACCTCCTGTTAAAAGATCATCAACGTAAAAATCATGTTCGATGATCTCTGCAATTTTGTCATTTTTACATTCGATACTTAATTGTTTAAGACACCGTGTAGCCAGGAATGGTGCACTAGATGTGCCATATGTCACCGTGTTTAATATAAATTTTTGTATCGGCTTGTTTGTATTACTACGCCAAAGTATTTGCTGCAGATGTCTATCAGATGGATGGACAATAATTTGCCTGTACATTTTTTCTACATCTGCAGACAAAACATATTTATGCTGCCTAAAACGGAGTAGTATTGACACCAAATCGTCTTGAATAATAGGACCTATCATTTGGATGTCATTATAAGAAACACCTGACGTGGTAGGGCTACTAGCGTTGAATACAACCCGAAGTTTCGTAGTTGTACTACTATCACGCATAACACCGTGATGGGGTATAAAGTACTCATCTTGTTCTAGTTTAGGTTGTTCACATTTTGACATATGGCCAAGCAACTCATATTCTGACATAAAACTGTGATACATTTCACTTAAATTAGGCTTACTCTTTAATCGATGTTCTAAAGAATATAAACAATGTTCAGCTCGTTGAATTGACTCTCCTAAGACAGAAGAAGTTTGCTTGAGTGGTATACGGACGCAAAAACGACCATCATCGAGACGAGTTGTATTCGCGATAAAGTGCTCCTCGCATTTCTTTTCTTCTGGCAGATAATTATGTTTGGAGTTTATTTCTTCAAGCTGCCAAAACCGTGTCAGATCAGTTCGAATATCATCGAAATCCTGATTTGAAGTAGAATCGATTTTATTTAAATTGCATCTTAATTCACTTACGTCTGTAGTTGTGACATGATGACTAAAAATAGGACCTGAAATTATCCATCCTAATTTTGTTTCACATAAAACAGGCTTTTTCTTGCCTAATGTTATTCTTCGCGTACCTACCAAATCCCAAAAGAGATCAGCACCGATTAAAATGTCAACATGAGCAGGTATAAAAAACGTAGGATCCGCTAAACAAATATCAGTTGGTATGTCAATATTAGAAATATTCACTTCGTGACTAGGTATATTACTAGTAATAGATGGCAAAACATAACACTGAACCTCAGAGGAATAATTGTTATTTAATGACGTCATTTGTACATGACAAGTTTTGCCTACGCATGATGTTGCGTTATTTATACCCAAAATTGACTTATCTACCTTACAAGTCATCAAATTTAAACGTTGACACAGTGTCTCAGTTATAAGACTCGATGTACTACCACTATCTAGTATAGCACGAACAATGTGTTCGCGATTGTTGTCGTCATATAATTTAATCAAGGCAGTAGATAATAACACATCACACTGAACTTTATTATAATTAGATATGTGTGTGGTCAAAGCTACATTATGTGAAGCCACAGATGATGTAGATGCTGAGGGTGTATTCACAGATGTAATTTTATTTTCATTACGTACCGGCTGATCACTAGTTACATGAATGAGACTATTGTGTCTTCGCTTGCATATTTTACAGCCTGATTTTTTGCATAGATTGGCAAAGTGGCCTGCGCGGAAACAATTAAAACATACCTTGTAGCTTGGTAGTAATTTTAGTCGCGCTTCAATACTTAAGGCAAGGAACTGAGGGCAATTTGCTAAATTGTGGTCGCCCTTACATTTAGGACAAACACGTTGATGTGATTCAGCTGTATTGGAATTTTGATTAGTATGTCCACCTTGTATCGACACCATAGATTTTAGTCTACCAGTAGATTTATGAGTCGAATTAATTTGACTAACACGTGATAGCTCTAATGTTTCAAATAAGTCAGCGCTACTACGTATAAATTGTAAAAAGATGTCAAATGTTATTGAGGCATCCTTTTCCATACGTCCTTTAAATTCCTCCCACTTCCGAAAGGTTTTGTTGTCTAATTTGTGAGTAATAATATAAATTAGAAGAGTGTCCCAATGTTTTACAGGTTCACCTAACGATTCAAGTGCTCGTAGGTTTTTATTTACCTGATCAATCAAACGTTTTAAAGTTACAGATGACTCCTTTGTAATAACTTCAATATTGAATAAAGACGATACGTGATTTTGTATTAGTGAACGTTTATTGTCAAACCTATCACACAAGAGTTTCCACGCAACGGCATAATTTTTAGATGAAAACTCAACTGATTGGATTACCACAGCAGCAGAACCTTCCAGAGATGCACGTAAATAATGGAATTTATTTATCTCGTCTATTTCATCGTTATTATGTATAAGACTAGTAAAAGTGTCCCTGAATTCAAGATAATTGTCGTACGACCCACAAAATTTTGGTAACTGGATGGTGGGTAGTTTAACGAGCTTATGATTACTCATGCGAGTACCCTTGTCACTTCCTATACTACTCATAGAACCTTCATTAATATTTTGCAAACTTTGAGCTTGAGCAATTGCTTTGAAGTATTGTGATTCAAATTCTGAGCGTTCTTTAAATTGCTCTTCAATATTATCAACAATACACTCTAAACGCAACTGTACCTGATCATATTGCTCATACAACGACTCAATTTTACCCATACGCAATTGTAATTCTCTAGCATCCGAAAGACTTAACGGTTCGTCAGTTAGCGAATGTAAATAGTTAATAAATGCAGTTAAACGACCTTTAAAACTACCACGTTTCTTAACTAATTCCCTTTCTTCGGCCATTCTGGGATTCGCGTGTTGTCGACCTGGAATTTATACAAATAAAAAATAAATTAATAAATGTAATAAACAAGGCACACAATAGATCCTTACTATATTGGTACTATATTACTATATTATTGGTACAATGAGCAAATAATATTTCAATCAATTAAATAGCTTTATAATACGATATGTTATATTTATAGTATAGGTACAGATGTTAATAGGTATATAGGAATAATATTTATAAAGTATTCAATATCGGACAAATTCAAATTATTGAATTATGCACTACGTAGTTACAGAGATATACTTGATACGTGACTGTATAACTTATCCACTTCAGTTTATTAATAGAATCATACAAACAGTAAATAGTTCACTAATCTGCTAAATATGTATATTATAACCCTATAGAATCGTATAAAATTTTACTATAATAGAACAATAGAATCAGATACAATAGTAAAATATATCTACCTACACAATAATTATACGTGAATAACTATTACAATTTACACTATAATTATTCATTTAATAATCCAAACAATGTAGCATTAATGCTTACTATACTTAATTTAAGTATTATTTGGATTTAATTACAGCAAAACTTAAGTTAAACAAAAATTATTCACACTACAATAGGTAGAAACTTTATGTAAGTAAAAATGAACGGTACAGATAAATAGTGTAATTATTTTTTACTAACCTTTTTAAAAATCCTTTATTTACACTAAATATTACCTGTCGAGTGCTGGGTTATATTTAAATATGAATAAATAAAGACTTAACACCACTGAAAATACACTCAATCCATCCACTGTAGGTAGACACTATTTCGATTTTAATAAATTCGTCTTTTATTCTTCTAGTTTAATTATATTCCATAAAATAATAGCTAATCCTTATCAGTTTCACATCCGGCTTCGATCTAGGACCATGTTTAGGATTTATTATGATGTAATTTTGGAAATAATCAAATTAAAGACGGAGACTAATTTGTATGACTTTTATAACGAATAACCAACAAATGAATAGAGAACATGAATCAACTTATTTTTGACGCTTTCTTGGCTAACAAAAAAGAATCAGGCGTTTAAACACAAATATAAAAAAAAACCAAAGACGATTATACGAAATCCCTATCATCCCCAGACGTCTGTCTTCAAATCACCTGCGACACGCGTCATCCTAATAGGATTATTTTGACGGGGACCTAAAGAATTTAAATTTCGAATTCGGTTCACTAAGTTTTTTTTTTTTTATTTGACCCCGCATCTTCGAGGTGTCTCCGGATCTAAGTGACGATCTAATCTAAAAAAAATGTATAAGACCACACGGTCGAACCGATTACCGCGCCTATTAAAAATAGAACTATAGAATAGGTATATTTAAAAAAGGAATGTTCCACTGTTAAAAGACTTATTGTTATTGATATTCTCACGCTATTTTTTATTTATTGACTTTCTGACTTTTTATCATCGAGTGAGCTCGATGGTTATTTGGATTTTTGGCGAGTGTCTAATATTAATTTTATTATTTTTACAAACCTTAAAACCTTATAATTGTAGAAACATACTACGAATATTTTAGTTTAAAAAAATAGTTTTTCAATTAAATTACGATTGACCTAAGTACTCAAAGTATGTATTCTACAATTTGTGGAAGATAATAAGATTTTTACTAAATTAATATTTTATAAACTCTGTCTATATGTGTATGATGTTGTTGATTTTGTACTGTATGATAATAATAGTGAAGCTTTGACTAGAAAGAAATAATTAATCTCACGTTCACAGGCCATCTACAAGAAACTTTCATGAGTACCTGGCTAGGATTTGTATATATACTAAGCTGATAATAATTATACTTTATAGAAACTTTTCATTTATGTTTAGAGAAATTTCTAGAAAATTTAAGTTTTTCCATAAAATATTTACTTTAATCTTAATAAAATTGATAATGGGTGTCAATACACTGTAAATTCATTTATTTTTTAAATATATTAAAATAATAAAATTAAAATTAATAAATATTTCACAAAACACGACATGAAATCGATTGCATTCAAATATGGATTCTAATTTAAAAATGAATAAAATTTTATGGAGATTACTAGTAATAATAACAATATAATAATAATAATAGTTAGTTTATTTACACACTCCACAAATTACAATATATAGTTTATTTACTTTACACAAAATAAAAGTAAATACGATTTTCTTTCCTAAATTTTACGAATTTTAAAATGTAAAATAATTACGTCAGATTTATTAAAAGCAACTTAATGTGATATGTAATAAAATTACGTAATGACCTAAAACTAAAAGCGACTCAGCTGCTTCCAAAGTCTCTCAGACAAGGACCATAAAATCTTTATGAGTGTGACAATCCTACTAAGAATGGAATATGATTGAATTGGATGAAGGTATAAGATACTAGTTATTCCCTCTGGTTTCGTCTGTACAACATCATATGTATTTTTCCTATGGGAATACTAAAATTATAAAAATGTGGAATAATGATGTAATAAGTTTTAAGGGCATGCATGTATCTTCAATTAGATTTTCAGACTATTTTAATTGAATAATGAAATAGAGAAATATATTTACGACAGTACTATAATAAGGTAGCTATATACAATAATGGGCATAATATTCGACATTCTCAAATTTTGTTGAGCACATTTAAATCTAAAATAACAGGGAACGAGTCGACCGCCATTTCTTAGGTTAATTGCGTTTATTAACGGCGTTTTTCATCAGCGGAGAATCAGCCAAAAACTGAAATTACCACATAAAGTTACGGTGTCGGTTAAATGCGAGTTCGAATTTACAGTTTTAAGTACAAATATACCAAGACGCTATAAGTCTTGAAAAGAGTTTGCTTCACTAAAAATATCGACTTTAAATTTGTATAAATATAAATAGATTTTCTTATGTAAGTCAATCGCTTCAGAACGGCTGCATCTATATGGGTATTTTTTGCGGTGTTTGTAATTAGTAAAATAAGATTTTTATGATAGAAAATGTGCGAAAAATCGTATGGAAAAGTGATTTCATTAGTACAGGCGCGTGAAGGAAGGACAGATAGCTGGTTTTAAATGAAATAATACAAATATGTGAGAAACCTCTTAAATTACGCTAGTATTAACATGGGAGACTTCATTATTTGCAGCAAAAATAATCTATTCTTTTATCAAATCCCCTTTTTTCGAAGTCACTTAAAAATTATATGGACAGACAGTCAGGCGACCGAAATATGTTCATTATAACCTTGTAAAAAGGTCTAAAATAAAAAGGTATCTAACCTCTTCATCGATCTTTCTAGCCAACCTATATCCGCTTTATTAGACGGTAGCCACAATTTACCGTCGCAATACTACGGTGGCACAGTGCTTGTGATTAAACAATAAATCGTCAGGGTCGCTCAGTCAGGGCGAGGCCTTAAGAATGGTACACGTTACTCTGGGTCAGTGGAATTTATTCTATGTAAATGATTAGGGCGTGTTTATGTTGAGGGGAATTGGCATCAGCTATTCTGTTAAGGGAAAATTGCTTTATTATTTCAGATTGCTATAAATGCAGATTCTCGAAGCAACTTTATAATTTGTTGAGATAGTTTTTAATGCGATTTATTTCAGAAATGGTTCTCATTTACACATAATTATGACTCTTTTTTGTTATAAATCAATTTTAGGTGTAATAATACTATTTCAATTTAGGGAAAATATATAATATAGTGTTTGGAAAGTTATCCTTTATTTAAATATGCTAAAATGGCTTAACATATTGGATGAAATTTAATACACAAATAGACCTTTTGGTTTATGTAACGATATAAACTAGATCCTAAATTTGTTCATAGAATAATTATATTTAGCCTAACTTATACTGAACAAACCAAAATCTAATAATTAATTATTACACAGTAATTTTTAATTTTAAAATTAAATCAAATATGATAAAAAAAAAACAGAAATTATCAAAATAAAAATTATTTTAAGAAAACATTCCAAAGCGTAACAAGAATTCATTCAATCAATCAATCAATCAATCATCTTTATTCATATACATCTGTTACAGATACTTATGATACGTCAGTCTATAATTATAATAATTACTATAGAAAATAATATTGATTTAAGAAAAAATGCAATAATTACATTTACAATACAATTCACATTAATACAAAATTCAAATCCATGCAGTTTTGTCATTTAAATAGTCATTTAATTTATAATATGCTTTTGTACAGAGAGTCCTTTTTATATATGTCTTAAATTTTCTTTCATTTAATTGTAAAACGTCATCTGGAAGTTTATTATAAAAACGTATACATTTCCCCATGAAAGATGTACTGACTTTTCTAAGGCGATAACAAGGAACATTCAATTTGTTTTTATTTCTTGTATTGAAATTATGTATGTCACTGTTATTTTTAAAAAGATTTATATTTTTACGTACATACATAATGTTTTCGTATATATATTGCGAGGGAACAGTAAGTATACCTGTTTGCTTAAAATATTCTCTAAGAGATTCCCGAGAAGGCAAATTAAATATTGACCGAACTGCTCTTTTTTGCAGTACAAAGATTGTATCGATGTCAGCAGCCCTCCCCCATAATATAATGCCATATGACATGATACTGTGAAAGTAACTAAAATATACAAGCTTAGCTGTTATTGTATCAGTTAATTGTCGGATTTTTCTAACAGCATAAGCAGCTGAACTCAGCCTGTTGGCCAATTCAAATATATGGGAGCCCCATTGCAACTTATAATCAACTACTATGCCAAGAAAAGTGGTTCTATCTACAAAGTCTAAATCCTGGTGGTCTAATCTAATAGCGGTATTCACTTGCTTAGTATTGGATATGGAAAATCTGATACATTTAGTTTTTTTTTAATTAAGTACTAGATTATTTGACGTAAACCATATCAAAACCTTAGACAAAGCAACATTTACATGGTCAAGGTTATGTGTATTTCTATTCACTTTAAACATTAGTGAAGT